CACCATCCTCCCAGAGCTCCTCAGCCAATCACAGACCCCACACTTCAATCTATGTATAGCATGAGTGGGGGAAGGGGGTTGGATGTGGAGCCCCTAAATGACGGGTGTCGACCCAGAATTATTTCCAGACCTCTCTTCCTGCCTTTCCTCTGCACCCTGAGTTTGTCTTCTCTGACACACTGCAGGAAACCAATCTGTCTGTCGTGATCCTTTCAAACTAATTTTCTTTTGACAAATAAATCAAAGCCAGGTCAGCCACCAGTTTGCAAGCATTTAATACTTTGTTTTTTTTAAAAGAAGGATTTCCCAAGAATTAAAAGTCACAGTCACATTTCAGCCAAGAGACTAATGTTTCTAGCAGCTGTTGAAACCTATTTCTGTTGAGCTGTAAGGTTTACACCAAAACCCCCAGTCTCAGTCACTTTGGAAGTAACAGACGATGCAAATCAATGCCAAATTACAACACTTTTATGCATATAATCCTATGTTTTGTTTGATGGATAAAACTAAATTAGTTGTAAGTATTAAAGTGCAAAACAGATTTGGTCTGTACAACAGCTCAAGTGCTGTAACAATTATCTTTAGTTTTTCCAACCTCTGCTCATGTTAGTTTAAGTTCTATGGAGTGTAATTTAGTAAGTGCCTGTTGAAGTAGTTTTCAGTGTCTGAGTCTGTGCACATTTTCTGCACAGTTAAAACACATTTTATTTCATACTGAACACGTTTCCTACTAACTCCTATCTTAGCTTCTCTGCAGTCCATACAATCTCTATAGCTGCCTTCAGTTTCTCATTACTAAATGTTATCCTGGAAGGATACATGGGAATGTATACCCTGGCAGCTCCCACTGCTTGGCTGTCTTTTCTTAACGTTAATCAGAACAGCACTGATCTGAAGCATTACTGACTGGGTTGTAGGAATCAAACACTGATAAGCTTCTTGTGTTGCTGCAACAGCAAGAGCTCAGCCAGAGTTTGAGCCATTTCTCAGAACCTTGCAGCCACAGAAAGCATTAAGAAATAGATTCTGAAGGATAGTTTAAAGGACTATGCAAATGAAAATGTAACAAACTTGTATGTGCATAAGATCAGAATTGGAGCTTTTCAGTTCCTTGTTTGGCACAGTTACTAATGGAAATCCAGCCACTTCTCCTTTAAGTCAAACATCTACAAATCAGATCTCTCCTGCAAGTCAATCTTCAGTAAACCACACCTTTTTATTTTCACCGTTTTCAGTTAGTGAGGTTAATAAATTGTTAAAAGGTCTAGACTCTAAAAAATCTGCAGGCCCAGATGAAGTTCAACCTTACTTCTTAAGGCTGGCTGCTTATATCATTGCAGAACTGGTGTCTCACATCTTTAACTTGCCCATAAGCCCAAACTTCATTCCAGATGCTTGTTAAACAGCCTTTGTTCTACCTTTGCTGAAGGGAGGTGACCCCACCTCACTGAACAACTATTGTCCAATCTCTAAACTCTGTATTTTAGTTAAGGTTCTAGAAAAACAAATTTTCAAATCAAAAAGTATTTGGACTCATTTAACATCTTACCTCCACATCAATCTGGTTTCAGGAAAGAGCACAGCACAATGACTGCTTCACTGAAGGTTTTTAATTACATTGTTGAAGCACTGGGTGCTAAGGATCATTGTGCTAAACTTTTCTTAGACCTGTCTAAAACTTTTGACACTGTGGACCATAACATTTTATGTCATAAGCTCTCAGAAATTGGTTTCTCATTTCACACCACTGGTTGGTTCTCTATTTCTCAGATCGGAGGCATTGTGTTCAACATAATGGTATTTCCTCCAGTTATTTTACGGTTAACAATGGTGTACCACAAGGCTCAGTCTTAGGGCCCACCCTCTTCACAATCTACATAGCTAATGTAGGTCAGAGCATCCCTGATTCATCCTTACATTTTTATGCTGATGACACAGTTGTTTATTGTCAAGTGAAAACAGTTGCTAAGGTTTTCCAGCTTTTGCAATCTGCTTTCGACATCATCCGGTCTGATTTGTTCTGTTTCAAACTTGTCCTAAACGTCGACAAAACCAAAGGGATGCTGTTTTCAAACAGGAAGCCAGTATCAGCAGTTCTTCCTCTGATTTTATCTTCGAATGGCGCTGCTATTTAGTTTGTCGATTCCTTCAAATATTTAGGTATCTTGGCCGATTCACATCTTTCTTTTAAGCTTAATGTGGAAAATTTGGTAAAGAAATTGAAAGTCACACTGGGTTTCTTTTTAGAAATAAATCCTGTCTAACTCTGAATGCTAGGAAACGCTTTATGACTGCGACTTTCCTTCTCTCCATTGATTACGGTGACATTATTTACATGAACACCACTATAAGCTCCTTGCAGATGTTGGACGCTGTCTATCATGGTGTGCTAAGATTTATAACTACTGTACCCATCATTGCACCCTGTATTCACTGGTCAACTGGTCATCATTAACTTCATGTAGACTCTCTCACTGGTACATTTTTTATCTTTAAATCATTCCTTGGTCTACTGCCTTCATACATCTCCTCCTACATGTCTCTGCGTGAGTGCAGCTACAGCGTGCGCTCTCAGGACATTATTACCTGCAGTGTTCCCTCTGTGAGGACTGAACTAGGCAAAAGAGCTTTCTCCTACTCCGCTCCTGTTTCCTGGAATATCTTGCAAAAAGATCTGATGCTCTCATCCTTGACCTCTCTAAGTGGCTTCAAACATCTGCTAAGTTCATGGCAAAAACCAACTCAAACATGTTCCTGTTTTTAGTTTTCTAGTTTTCTACATCGCTTGACAACCTAACTATTTTTGTTTCAGTTTTTTAATAGCATTTTCTTTCATTTGTTCTTCTCAATTTCTATTTTTTCTTTTATGATTGTGATGATGATGATCCTGAGCTACAAAAATTGTGCAACAACACAAAATAACAGAAACAAACATTTACAAATAAACAAAGTCTAATATCTATTATTGCTGCAGTATGTAGAGGATGGAAACCAGTGAAATTCTGCAGTATTTGTTTATTTTCTTCACTACCTTATTTCATTTATTTCTTAACTCATTTATTGGCAACTATAGGTTCTGTATTTGTCAAGTCAAGTCAAAATTTATTTATATAGCACATTTACAACAACCACAGCTGACCAAAGTGCTTCACAAAAATTACAACTTTGAGGTGGTTAAAGACACATATGATTTCTAAGGTCGAGATGAAAACGTGTAATGACTCATCTAGCTTAGCTCCACTGAATGAGACAAAAGTGTTCATCTCTGTCTATTTTTGTGTTAGTTTCAGCTCTTGCACGACTTGATTTCTTTCCAGTAAGAAGTCTCATTGTTTGACCATGCAGGTGATGAAGGCCTCACCAGCAAACTCCAAAGCGTTCGATCCATTATGCTTTTAGAGTGGTCCCTATCACTGCCTTGTACAATGCTGCTGGACAACCTAGTGACGGTGGATTCATCATTTCAGCCAGTCTGAGAGAGGCTTGTTTCTCTAGCTGTTTTGTGACCCAGAAGACAATTTCAAACATTATCTGACCATACACTCCAGAAATTGACCTAAATAGAAATATGTTGGCATGACTTCAGTATTTTGGGAATTTGGTACTACTTTCAATGTATGGAAGTTTAATGTGAAAAATGTTGAATGAAAATAAATATGGTTAGATTAAAGTTAGAGTATATAGCATTAGTGTAAGAAAGTATGTTTATCTGAATGTGGCCAGGTGTCTTGTTATCATCAGCTCCCTTTGTTTCAGATCTGATAGACCTCGTGACATCCACAGTCCCAGAGGACCCTCAAGTTCCTCATTCAAAACTCCAGACGACAACCACAGGAAGTGAAAATATACACATTATGTCATCATGTTCAGCCTCATGTTGTACCTCTTCGTATTGTATGGAGGCCCTGATTGTTTACTGTTATATCACACGGTTAAATCTTTTACGGCTTCCTGCAGACACGCCGACCCATGAATGAAGGAACAGGATGCCGTCGACTGCAGAGCTAACTAAAGCGCACGCTACTACTGCTCAGCTTGAAAAAACTTTTTTAGAAGCAAGACGCGGTAAACGCAGAGTCTGTGAAGATAAAGGAACAAACACGAGGGTGAGACGGTGTTGCTGTGTGGGGTTATTTTGGCACAATCTGAACTGTGTTTCCGGGAAAAGGTTTTCTTGGAATAAGGTCACACTACTACAAATACCCACATGCAGCTAGACAATCGCACGCACATTGAACCACAAATGAACATCTCCATTTTGACAGATTTCTAATGACATTCGTTTGGACAATTTATATGAAAAGCCATCTAGGGTTGCATTTCAACTTGCAGTCATAGAAACTATCTCCAAAAACTTTCTTGCATGTTAAGCCTTCATTTTTTCTTCTTCTTTTCTTTCTCTGTTTCATGCACTGGGTCTCATGTTACCTTTTACTTGAGATTCAACGTCACAGTTTCCTCCTTATTTCAGCCCTTGTCTCATCTACTCCTCCTCTTGCAAAAATCACACCATCTTCAGTTTATCTTTTCTTTGGCCTGTGTCCAGGCAGGGAGAGCCTCAACCCCCTCCCCTCAGATCTCTAAGTGCTCTCTTCGCTGGCCCCTAGTAACCCCAACTGGAACTGAAGCAGGAGGCCTTTCGTTACTGCGGGGATATGTTACAGTGGTGAAGATGTGTGTTGCTGAGCACATTTGTCTTTCTGTGAGACAGCCAAGAAAAATAATGGATCATGAAACAGATTCAATATTGCAAAGAATGTCTTTTTGCGCTCTTTCCCATCATCTGCAAAAAGCCTGGAAAACCAGCTGAGGTGTTATTTGGATGTATTCTGTCTGCACTTGCATCAGTTTTATTATATAAGAAAACCATTCAAAGAACAGTCAGCATCCTGTAAAATATTAATAGTTCACAACATTTTCATCAAACCCTACTTATTTCATAAATGAGAACTGAGACACAGTCAGCCCCTTCTTTTGTTCTCTTAATTAAACACTCTTACCCACGTCGTCCTCATGGTAGATAACAGAGTGGTGATTTGTTGGGCTGCTGGTGTATCTCTGAACTGGCTCTATGTGATAAGTGCCATTTTCTGTGTGGATGGTTCCCTCAAACTGTCCCTGTAGCACGGAGCCGTGGCAGGAGGAACCGTGTTCTCCTGCAACGCAGAGGTATGGCATTGAGGAGAGATAAGACGGAGTTAAAATGATGAAGCAGAACAAAGATTACTAAAGACAGACTCATAAAAGGATAACTTAACATATATATTGTATATATATATATATATATATATATATATATATACACTGTATATGTATATATAGTACATATACAGGGGTTGACAAAAGGAACATTTCCAGGTTTAGGTAAATAAAAATTATTGGTTTTCTGCAATCTTTACAATAAGGAAAATTATCTCATAAAAGTTTAATTTAGTAAGTGTGTTGTAATATTTACATAGTTTACTATATACAAAGGTTCTCAGTGAGCCGTCGTGTGGATTTCTTGGAATGTCCAAGCTACTGAGTGGCAGAGTCTTCCAGGAGCTGCTTGAGTGGAACTTCCCCGTTCTCCTCCTCTTTCATTCTCTTCCTTGTCGTAAGACTTTGCCAGACAGGCACTTGCCGTGTATTTAAGGCAGAGATTAAGGCAGGGAAAAAAAAATCTAAGGTATGTTATCCCAATCCCTCAAACCTGGTTCTGTGATTAGATTTTTTTGTTTGGCACTTTAACATAAAGTGTAGACAACTGACCTAAAACTATCAGTAAAAATTTCTTGTCAGATATTAAAATTATTCGTTTTAGGCGAAAAACGGGAGGAGAAACGAAATGACAATAATGAGAAAATACATTTTTCTGATTCTTTTTGAGTCTGACTTTTTTCTGTCTTTTTTATTTATTAAAAAAATTGTTCTAATAGTTGTAAACTTTACACTTAAGACCCAATGACATTATGATAATACATAATAATACTGTCACGCTCAGCGGCCTCCGCTGCCCCCCCATCTGCCTAAGCCTCTGCTCCTCATATCACAGCCCCTGTTTTAAGATCATTCACGTTTTTTCCTGCCTCAGTTTCTGTTTATTTCATCCTGTTTGGTCCTGCACTGCCTATCACCCATTTTCTGCTCCTGTCACTCTCTCTCAGCAATCTGCACTCATCTGCTGCACCCTGTCTCTGCAATCACCACTCACCTGCCACACCTGTTCAGCTCACTACTTAAGCTCCACTCTCACTCTCCTCAGTGCCAGATTATTGAAAGCCTCACAGCCAGTAAATTATCTAGCATTCGTTCGTTCCTAGTTTCTTCGTTTTTGACCACAGCTTCCCTCTTGATTCCTCGTTTTGATTTTGCCCCTGTCTGGATACCACGCTCTCGGCCTACATGGTACAACCTCGCTCTCCTCTTCGACCACGACTACGGATCATCCTTTTGCCTGTTCACACAGCTCCTGGCTCTCGACCCCTGCTACGTCCCTGGATTCTGTTTCCTGCCCAGCCCTCCAACGTTCTCTGTCTCAGCTCTGCTCCTGCCACAGAAGGTTAGTGACGTGCACACCACCTCTCAGCTCCCAGAACCTTTTTGCAGTCACTAACCTGTCTGTCTTCATAGATTGGACCAGAACTGAGGCTCAGATCCTTCAGACGAACGCCTTTAATAAAATAAAACCTTTTATTTTAATATTGTCCTGAGTCAGGTGTTGTGCCGATCCATACAGACTCGTTACAAATAGAACATAACATATGTAACTGCCAAGCAATGGACTGCTGTACAGTCTGTCTGTGACTTTTTGCTTATTTTACTTTATAATTTTTCTAGAATAAAAGGTACCACTTTACAATAAGCCTCTCCTTATAGATGGCTAATAAATAGTTTATAGATACGTTATTAATTCCTCTATAAGCACTTTATAAATCATTAATAACTGCTTATTATGCATTAATTAAGGAAGACAGAGACAAAACTGACCAGTTTCTTGCAAATAGTGAACCAAATCTGTTCACCTATATATTTCATCTAGAGCGAATAAGCATTTGTAAACATATTCCTTAGCATATAATATTGTACTTTATCACTGCATTATAAGTATCTACAACTAATATTATATGCTTAAAAAAATTAGGGTTACAAATGTTGTGCTTACAAGGTAGTAACTTAGTCTGAAATGTTTAATATAACAACTCTAGGTTAAATATATAGGTGGCAGATTTGGTTCACTGTTTGGCAATAAACTGGTCCGTTTTGTCTCTGTCACCCTTAATTAATGCATAATAAGCAGTTATTAATGATTTATAAAGTGTTTATAGAGGAATTAATGACATATATATATATAAACTATTTATTAGCCATCTATTAGGGGAGCCTTATTGTAAAGTGGTACCGAATAGATATATGATCATACAGGTGGCTCTGAAGCAGGCAGTGGACAACACCCAGGAGGGAAACGGGACCTCAAATCGATTTAAACCTAATGGTCTCATAAAATCTTGGACTAATTCTGTAAGTCTTATTAATAAAGCCCATATTTATTTATTTTGTCTTTAAAGTTATGCAGTTGCCACTGACTTAAAGTAAAAAAGTTTTTCCAGCATCCAGTAATTTTAATTAAAATGTAGACCCTCATATCACACTCACCATGAAGTGTTCCAGAATATAAGTGTGACAGGTCCACAGACATGGGACCATTTTCCCCGACCAGGGTGAATTCTTTAGTAAATGCCTCTGAATCTGGTCTCAGAAGCAAACGAAAAGATCTGATGGGATTTAAAAAAAAAAAAACACACAAATAAATTGCAGATGTGGCTGTATAGCTTTGTAGTAATATGGGAATAATCGACCATCAGCTGGCAGAACTGGACAAATCCCCAAATAATGATTTGCATCTGTTAATAATTTAGAGAAAAAAAAGCAGTTGTGCAAACAGAAACAGATTGTTTTCATGGGGTTTAGTTACCTATGGAAAGCAGTAAAATCCAAATCAAGTGTGTAGTCCTGAGGTTGTGCAGACCTCCTGGCTCTCATATGTTTTCTGTGAAGCTCCTGCCTGTCATATGATAAGACCTCATGATGTTTTATAAATGGACTGATGCTGCTCGTAGAACCTGCAGGAAAACAAGGAACTCAGGTTATAGGAGAGCAGCAACAATCTGTGATATTTCTGCAAACTTCTCCACAAGATGTGACTTAGACCAATCTGCACAATGTATGTGAACTCAAGAGAAGCTTCTGGATAAAATCAACAGGTAAACTAAGCTGTAAGACCACTTTTAAACATAAGGTACAGCTCATAATTTTTTTTCATATTAGATTAAATGGAAAAATTGCAGAGGCTGAAAATTCCCGACTTACAATAATTCTTCAGCGCTTAACATATCCAACACAATTTCAACGTCAAGGTAAAACTTTGTCATCAAATTAACATAAAAATTATTTCCATTTTGTACATTTTAAATAAACACACAATTAGCTCATTTATTTAACTGAAAATGGATAAAGTTATCTTGAGATAAAAACTGTGCTTGGATTTGTTCTGACGATGACAACGTGTTAAAGTTAACGTTATCTGATGGAACAAAACTGGACTTTTGAACGTGAAGTTCTACAGTAAGTTTGGAGATAGGATCATGGTGAACTCAACTCAGTAAGACTAAAGAAAATTACTGGACAGAGCTTCATAGTTCAGAAGGAAACAAGATGAGTGATCCATCTTTCTTTTTTATTCAGTTTAACTCATAAACTTATTTATTCTTTAAAAGGCCAGAAACGAGACATATCCACTCACTGAAAAACTGATTTATGGATGCAGTTTGAGAAGAAATGGAAATAGTTGGATGGAGGACTGAGGATACAGAAGACAGATGGAGGAGGACGTCCTGCTGTGGTCCCCCCCCCCCCCCCCACACACACACACACCTCATAGCTACAGACTGTACATGTAGTAGTGTGAATATTGTAAAGATGGAGCATCTTGGCTTATGGCAGCTGATAAACTGATAAGTTTATTGGTAACATTTATGCACGTTGTGGGAATAATAACTTCAAGTATAAACTCAGACTGCTACAAATGTTCTTCTCCAGACACTTTCAAACCAAAGTTTCAGAGCTTGTAAAACTAATACCTTGTCCTGAGTGCTGGTGCTCAACCCAGCACTTTCCTCAACATGTTACGATGTTACCTGTGTGGAGTGAATCTCACAACAAATCCTTAAATAAGAGAGCACACACTTTGAATCACATCTAACAGGCCAGGTATTATGTGTATGTTGTTGGCAGGTTTTGCATGCAGGCTCTTTTTCTGTTGTTGAATTCCTGAGGACAGGTTGAGACGTATCCAAGGTCAGTTGAAAGACCAGACAGCAAAAGCTGACCAGAACTGCTATCTCATCCACACACACACACAACCTGACTTATTCAGGGTGAAGTGTGAGGAAAAACCTTTGACTCAGACAAACACTCAGTAATCCTCACATTCCAGCTCTACCTGTAATCCATTCATGGCATCTGACAACCAGCAGCAGCCAGCAGAGTCGGACCACCATGTTCTTCTTATCGCTGCACTGTTGTCTTCGCTCTTTTCTCGTTTGCCTCCTCGGTTCTTGTCCGTTCTTCTGTTTCCTCTCTTTTCTTCCAACTTCTTTTACCTGCGGTCTTCACTCATTGGAATGTGTCTGAAGTGCAGCTTCAATCCAGAATGCAGGATGGAGCAATAAACTGACACTATGGAGAGGCATATTCAGACTTGTTCTCATGTTATGCGCCATCGCTGGGAGGCTTTGACAATGAAAATAAAATCTTGAAACTGTGAGCTAGAGCTGTTGAAGTCGAAGAAATATGGCAGGTAAAAGTCACAACTGTAATTTAAACGTTTTGTGAGAGTTTTGAACCAATTTCTAAAGTTTTTAGGTATATTTCATTTGACTTACCCAAGCATGTTTACCTTTAAGTCGTCAAGTCAAATTTATTCATAAAGCACATTTAAAACAGCCGCATGAGAAACAATGAAATACTAAATCAAATCACACTGTGTTAAACGTCAGTGAATACAGGTGTGTTTTTAGGAGAGATTTAAAAGCAGGAAGTGAAGTGGCCTGCCTAATGTTGAGGGGCAGATTGTTCCAAAGTTTAGGGCCCACAACTGAAAAAGCCCGCTCTCCTCTGAGCTTCAGCCTGGTATATGGTACAACCAAAAGCAGCAGGTCAGATGATCTCATCACCTGAGAAGGAACATATGGTTGATGTCAGAAAGGTATACAGGTGCAAGACCATTAATGCACTTAAAGGTCAATAGGAGAATTTTAAAATCAAGTCTGACATGCACTGGGAGCCAGTGAAAGGAGGACAAAACTGGTGAAATGTGAAACTGGTGAAATGTGCTCAAACCTATGAGTTCCTGTTAAGAGCTGAGCTGCAGCATTTTGGATGAGCTGGAGCCATGAGAGGGAGAGCTGACTGATTCCAACATAAAGCATGTTACAGTATACAGCTGTGTTGTAACAAATGGATGGACTGTTTTTTTCAAGATCATATCTGGTCAACACGAGCTTAAGCTTTGCTATCTGCCTTAACTGGAAGAAACTTTTTTTTGTAGAACAGAGTTAATTTGTTTATTAAACTTAAAGTCAGAGTCTAAAACTATCCTGAGATTTGAAACAGACTGCATAAGATATGACTGAAGAGAGTCAATGTTTACAGGATCAGAGACAGCGGTATTGCTAGGCCTAAACACAATGACTTCAGTTTTCTGATCATTAAAACTTAAAAAATTTGAAGCCATCCATGCCTTGATGTCATCACGACATTTTAACAGAGGGCAAATGGAGCAAGAACTGTTAGGTAAATAAAGGCAAATAAATCTGACAATCATCAGCATAACAATGAAATGAAATCATCATCAACAACTTTATTTATAAAGCACTTTAACACCAGCCACAGCTGAAACAAAGTGCTGAACATCAGTAATAAATAAGTTAAAAGAAAGTATTAAAATAAAGTGACAAAGCTAAGCACACAATAATGAATTGAGAACTCAATTCAGAACACAATAAAAGGATGAGTTAAACAGATAAAATTAATACTAATAAAAATAAAGTAAAATCAAGTCTCAGTTGGGTTCAAGGCCAATGAATAAAAATACATTTTCATACGGGTTTTAGACATGGACTGTGAAGGGGCCTGTCGAATGTGCAAAGCCAGTGTTTCATAACTTAGGGGCACTAACAGAGAAGGCCCTGTCTCCTTTAAGCTTATACTTACACTTGGGAATGACCAGAAGCAGATGGTCAGCGGACCTGAGTGACCGAGGGGGAGTGTAGCGGTGAAGAAACGCTGTTAAATAAGGTGGGGAAAGGCTGTTTAAAACCTTAAAAATGAACAAAATAATTTAAAACTGAACTCTAAAATACAGTACATGGGCAGCTGCCAGCCAGTGGACAGAAGCTAGGACAGGAGTAATATGCTCTCTTTTACATGTTCCTGTTAAAAGACGTGCAGCAGCATTTTGCACCAGCTGCAGACGTGTAAGTGAGGACTGGCTGACTCCGAAATAGAGGGAAATACCATGTTTCCTCAGGATAGACCCCAAAGGGAGCAAATAGAGTGAAAACAAAAGAGATCCAAGAATTGAGCCCTGTGGGACCTCGCAGGAAAGAGGCGCTGAAGACGATGAAATATTAACAACATTAACACAGAAACGTGTCACTAAGGTAAGAACGGAAGCATTCTAATGCTGCACCTGTAATCTTAACCCAGTAAAACACTTTTAAAGTCATTCAAGCTGGGTAAAAATGCCGTACAATAAATGAAGTACCAGTATATTATTTCTTAAAATTAGAGTAAATCAAAACCAACAAAATAAATGAAAGTCACACTTTTTTTTTAATCTTATTGATGATTAAGAAGTCTTTAAATTCAAAATGTGTGACTTTTTTGTTTTGTTTTGGCAGATTCAATGTTTTGTTTGCATTGAGGTATAGTTGCATTTTAGAATTTTGTGTCAATATATTCAAAAAAACTTTTTGCGTAAACTCATTGAAACTGCACCATTTGATATAGTTCAGAGTAACCTTTTTTGTGTTTTATTTATTTATTATTATTATTATTATTTACAGTTTGAAAAGCATACATTTAACTTGTTATAATTCTAACATGTATCAGACTGGAAAGAAATGTGCATGCTAAGTAGACAAATTAAGAAAGCATGTATAAAGAAAAACTCTTTGCATTATGGATTACTGAGCCAGGAGGAAGTGCTGACAGGCCTATAAATATAAGAAAAATAATAATAATCTGCATGATTCATGTTGTGTTAGAAGTATTCTGGGTTCATTCTAAACAAATGTGACTGATTTAGACGCTTGAGGAACAATCTCACAAGAAGAGGAACGGTAACATCAGTTGACCTGGAAATGAGGTAAACTAAAACAAAAGTTCACTGTCTCAAAAGAAACTCATCTCTTTCACTTCTGCATGAATAAATAGCAACAATTTTGCAACAACATGAATATTTTTAAATTATTACAAGTATCAAGCAATGTCATTTAATTCTGCATTTATAATACTTTGTAGGTAAAGATGCTACTGTGCCACGTAACTTGAGAAAACTGAATTTTCTGCTACATAAAGTTTTGAAAATAAAAGCAAAGTGTATTTTTAAGTACTTGTACACATGAAGTCAGTTTTGAACAGAGGTTGGCCACTCAGCTATAAAGAATTGTACTTAAACATCTCAAACCAAACCATCCCAGAACAGTATTATTGAGCATGTGTCAGGACATCCCAGAACAGTTTCACCAGAACTTAATTGCATTGAAAACTTGTTGTCAGTCTTCAAGAGCCAGGAGGACAGACCAAAACGCACAACGCTGACAAACTCCAAGGAGTCAGGGTATGAGCTCTTGTCTCCTCTTACCTGTGTGAATGTGTTATTATGAAACCTCGCCTCACAAAACATACATGCACAGTACAGCAGATCACCGCCCCTAACAAATAATATTTAACGCACACTCAGTGAATCCAAATGTGACATCAAAGTCCACTTCCCTGCATTTTTATGTGAAGTTAAACTTGACCAAACTTTTGATCCAATATAAGCCAAATGTCAATAAATGGCACTAAATTGCTGCAAGTTTTCTAAAAACCATGAGTACCATTAAAACAACAGTTCTTGTGTCAAATTAAGTATGAAGTGCCTTGCAGAGATGTTTACAAATTTAAATTTACCAAATGCAGTTTATCCCCCACAGAGCAATAAAACATGGGAATTGCATGGCTTGTAAATGTAAACAAGCAGAGTTTAGATGAAGTCTGAAATGTTTATAGCCAAACAGCAAAAACAAACGTAAAAAAATACCACTCATAAAATGTAAGCCCCTAATTTACTGGATATGCGTACGCTTCTTGTTTACTCTGTTGTGCATGATGTTTTTCTTGGAATAACAGATTTTCTTTGGTTGTGATCATGATCAATGTATACATGGTGTTTGTTCTGTATACAATGAAAGTATATAAAAAAAATAATCTTGGGACTCCTCAGACTGATGAAGTCCTCCGGATAGAGGGCGAAATGTCTCTACAAAAAAAGAAACTGTCCAGATGATCTGACTGAGCTCGGATTTGGTGCCTGGATGATTGAGCATGAACTTTAATGTCTTGAACCACTTTGGCTGCGGCTGCCTGCCTGGGAGGAGTCGACGGAGGACAGAACAGCCCCCCAGAAACCATTTTATCACCAGCAAACTGGTTGGTCCACTTAAGGAGTTTGCTGCTTAGTGGGGAAACAGTTTACTGATACTTGGGACTCCTCAGACTGATGAAGCCCTCCGGATAGAGAGCGAAACGTCTCTACAAAAAACGAAGCTGTCCAGATGACCATTACTGGATTTTTTTATTTTTATTATCATATTCAGATGCTTTTTTTTCTTAAAAAAAAAAATATATATATATATAATAAATCAGTCTGCTTTAATAGTTGTAGCATTTTGGAATGAATGAACACAAATACAAACACATTGTATTATTATTATTATTATTATTATCTATCCATCCATTATCTTTACCCGCTTATTCCATTTTGGGTCACGGGGGTCACTGGTGCCATATCTGGCCATCATTGCGTGAGAAGCGGGGGACATCCTGGACATGTCTCCAGTCCATCACAGGGACACATAGAGACAATAGACAATGAGACAAACAACCAATCACTCTCTCACTCACACCTAGGTGTGTGTGTGTGTGTGCATGTGTGCATATGGAGGTGTGTGTGTGTGTGTGTGTGCATATGGAGGTGTGTGTGTGTGGGGGGGGTGTCTCAAAACTCTGATGTATTCAGTACTTATGTATGACAAAAATATTTTAGAATAAAAGTCCCATTATGACTGTAAAGTTAAAGTTTCTTATTTAAGATGGTTTTCCATAGAAACAAACTGATTATCTGCATCTTTATGCAATTTCTAATTTCAATAGCTACTTCTAAAACTTGGAGAAAAAAATAAAAAAATACAACCTTGTTGTGCCACATTTTTAAACAGCACATACACATTTA